CGCTCATTGGCTAATTAAATATAAAATTTTCTGATTGATGATCCATCGGAAAATTCTTAAGCAGCGGTTGATGTAGGTGACACCCGTTTGACCATGTCCCGATTGACCACTAGCCACTCACAGGAGCCGGTACCTAGAATTTTTCCATTGTTCAAACGCTGTGAGTGGCTAGTGGTCAATCAGGACGTGGTCAAATGGGTGTCACCCGCTGATATGTGTGGATGTGTGCTATCGCATTGTGCGCTAACGGGACCCATCCCTCGAATCCAGCTAGCAAACCAGCAGAAAAAAAAGCATTGTGTGCTGCTGGCTTTATTTATTATATTATTTATGATAGGATTCGCGACTTCGTGAAACATGGATAAAAAAAGACTCGTTGCAAAATATTATTATGAAATAAAATATAATAGAATACAAATTTGTATCTGCACAAATGAGATATAAATGAGTTGGCTTGTTGCTCTAAGAACTGTAATATCCCTAAGGATGAATTTTTACGTGCAGTCTCGTTTATCCTAAATTCTACCACAAATGTAGTGTAAATAAATTGACTTGTTGTTCCTGCTGACTCTTAAATATTTAATTATAATTATCTGAATAAAACTTTTTAACACAAAACTTTTTAATGACACTTCATAACTCTGACGCGATCACCTGGCTCGACGCTCGGATCGGCTCGTCGATGTCCGGGTTCGAGAGGAGGAGAGACTCAAGCTTACGAAAACATAGATTGACGTGAAAAAGATAGTTTATTTAGCGAAAGATAGATACAACGTGCAGGGCCAGGAGATGTCGCAATGTAGTTGGCAGCAGCAGGAGGTGAGATGCAAAGCGGAGACACAAAGCGATTGACGCAAAGCGGTTGACGCAAAGCGCTAGACAGGTGCGGCGTGCGATCGATGACGGCTTAATTACTACGGCGCGGTTACAATTAAAGATCGTCGAATTACTGACTTATAATAACTAGCGGCCTTACTCGCATGCACTTACGAGCTAATGTCAGGCGGGACGTCTAGGTATTGCGGGTAGGGCTGAGTGCCACGTCGAGCCCTGCCTTCGCAACGGAAACCGGCGAAACCCGGTGGAGCCGAGCGAAACCTCAGCCCGAGGAGCGGTGACAGGAGTCGGCGAAACCCGACAGAGCTGAGTGAAACCTCAGCCCGAAGGTACAGAAAGCCGGTGAAACCCGGCAGAGCCAAGCGAAACTTTGGCCCCTTGAAGAGGGATAGTAGGTACTGGTCAGGTCGGTGTCAGGAGTCGGATCGCAGGATGGGATCTGGTCTCAATGTCTCGGCCGGCCGAGCTTATATACCCGGCCGGCGTTCCCCACTGTGCGCCGTCGGTCCGGCAGTGAAGAGTCGGTATCGCGTGGGGTACCATGAGCGATAGCGTGAGCGAGACGGCGCGTGCGGTGTATAGGCAAGCGAGTGGAATAGCGCGAGCGGTGTGCGTGCAAGAAGGATAGGCAGCGCAGGACAAATAAGCCAGGTGTATATATATATATATATATTATTTTTTTTCCTTACAAGTAACGGCCCTGCCGTTACAAATTTCATATGTTATGTATGTGTATGTACTATCACATTTGTGACAAGCTAACAGTTTTTGCACTTATACTTAGCAGTATTCATTTTTTACCACATTTCCAAGTATTGATAGTTAATCAATATTACTATAATCATAATAACAATAACAATAATAACAACAACAACAATAATAATAACAATAATAACAATAACAACAACAACAACAACAACAACAACAACAATAATAATAATAATAATAATAATATCATAAGGAATGGTGGAGAAGGGAAAATAATTTAATAAATTGATATATTTCTTCAGTATTTATTTTTATATTTTATTAAAAAATTTTAAATTGATGAAAGAATGATATTTTTCAATATATACATTTTATTTATCATCTAATACGTAATGTACAATATTATTTATAGCGTAAAATATTAATTCGCACTCTATATATGAATTTTTATCATAAATCTTGCGCAAAATTTGCACATCGCATCGCATCGCATTTATCGATGATACAATTTTTTGACGTAAAAGCATTACAAATTGTTTAAATTTATCATTTATGCCATGTATATTTTGACAGATATATGAATGCTCGATGCAATGTTCCAATTTAAATAAAAAGAGTACGATTGATAGCATATACAAGCAAGTGCACATCGCATAATGTCAGTTGTCATGTTTTACAGTGCTATTTATACATT